ACAGTTTGTCTTTGCAGTTTACTCTTAACCAGTTGTTGTCTTGGGGCCCCATGCCAGCTCGGGGCACCAAGCAATTGTCGCGATGGGCCTGGTTTTATTAATGACTGCTGGAATAATGGTGGAATAGTAAAGTAGATGAGAGGCGGACACTCTGGCTTTCAGTGTTTGAGCTCTGGCGTTCTCTGTCCCTCTGCTGGCTCTTTATGATGAACTAGAAAGAGAGGGAGAAGTTCTGCCTATTCATTCCCAGACATCCTGACTTCCCGCTGGGGAGTGATGATGTGCCCAGCTGGATAATCTTTACTACAAATCCCAAAATGCTTTGAGCCAGCTGGAGTGGAAACTGCGAACGCCAAAGCAGGCAGAGATACACCGCTGAATATTCCAGTAGCGCTGCCTGGGGCTCACAGCATAGCCAAACTTGTTGCTGGATCAACATGCCAGATGTAGGGGTGAGAAGCCCTTAAAGGCAGGAAAATGCTTGCTTTGTATTGCTGTGAATGTAATCCTCTCCTCCAACCCTTGGCACAAAATGCTTTTACAGTATCCTGCAGTCAGAGTCAGCAAATATTGAAATACTGTAGGTGAAACAGAGCCGGAATAGACTTTTTCCTTAGGCCAAGAAAGTGCTTTTTTTTATAGCATTTGTGTCTCTTAAAGGAATGGTGCACCTAATTAATGATTCCAGATGTTTTTTGTTATTTGTATGTTGTATATACATATAAATGTCTCTCCAATAACTTAACCATTAATTTAATGACTGGTATTAGTGTTAACGAAAGTTTAGGGCAATCCTGTGAGCAGATTGCAGCTAATTGTCAGACGTCTCATTGAAAAAGGAGCAGCCTGTTGCGCTCATTACTCTCTACCTGTTTCTCTCCCGTCCTACTATCCTATCCTACTATCCTATTCTTGTTTCGCCCACTTGTCTCCTGTCTTACTTTGTCTCGCTGTCACTCTGTCTTGTCCTTAACAGTCTGTGCCCGTCTCTCTCCCCTTTTCTCTCAGTGGGGTGTATAGACAGACGAATGATTATTAAAGTATGGTGGAGATGGCCTGACTCAGACTGTATTTTGCTGGATCTCTAGTTGACTCTCCCACAGGCACATCTCTGCATGTTTGGCTTTATATTTAAGTTTTTTTATCTTGAGTTACTGACTTCAAACATTAGAATAGATGGATGTTAAGAGCTCACTTGGCAAAATGCTCTTATCAAATGCTCTTTTTTAAAAAAAATATATCAGCATTTAATGTAAGATGGTTGCCTTTTCATCCTTCTATTAATCAGTGTTGTCATTGTATAGTCTTCCTCAGTCTTTTTAATCATCAGTTTTTTGAGGTTCATGAGTTGTTAGGCATTGTAATCAGTTTTTAATTGTTGCACACAAAGTATTACTTAAATCATTAATTACATTTTTATTCACAATAAAAAAAAAACCCTCTTAAACCTTTAAACTATATATAACATTATACTATTTGGAATGCAGGGACAGTCACCATGAGAAAAAATGTGCACAAAACCCATGCATGAACAAGCGTACAGTAAACGACACAAATAACAACATTCCTGTGTGTCTCATTTGTGACATGGTAATAAAATAATGCACTCTGACTCAAGTCCAATCTGTGTAGACAGGATCTGAGTTGAACAGGGTCATAAAATGCACATGAAAGTGTGCGTCCAAGTCCATAAGCAAGTTAACTTGGTAAATTTGATTGCTTTTAAATTAAATGACATAAAGATTATCACAGGGTAAGACTTGTCTATACTGTCACTGTTTGTTGTTCATTTATATAACAGAACTTTTCCAGTGGGAGATGAATACACATGCCTTCAGATACTTTGTGCAATATAATAAAGCTGGCTTGATGTGTTTGCTGCTGCACATATTGAAAGGGAATGAATGAATAGTAAAATATTTTCATGCTGTCTTGTGGGGTAGTAAAGAGAACGTAGTCGAAAATAACGTACCAAAATGACTTTTTTTTTACGAGTCTTTCTTTAAGTCCAACTCAAGTCTCGATTCAGTTGTTTACAAGTCCAAGTCAAGTCGCAACTTCAAGTCTTTTTTTTTTTTCACATTAAGATGTTATAATTAGGTTAAAGGAAAAATATCTCTGTCTTCATACAATTACATAAACTGAGAATAGTTGTTTTTTTATATAAATTATTTAATTTAATAACAGAATTTAAGCTTCATAAAGAGAAATCTCTCGTGTCTCTGTGACAAGTATTGACAAGTAACCAAGTTAATTTTTCGGACACGTTTCAGAATGAACTTCCCTTACAGAGAGCAGGTAAAACGCGCATGTTTATTTTTCTTTTTGACAAAAAGCACAACACTTTGTTTGTATTGTGAGTTTACACAAAAAAATAGCACTTAACAGGATCAAATGATGTATAACACTTATATATAAGATCAAAATCAGCAGAGTATTTTGAGTCTCTTTTGTACTTGTAAGAAAAAAAAGTGAGCTGGAATTACCAGCGATACCGCCGACTCCGGAGGGTTAATCGCAACTTTGTTCTTTTTCAAGAGCTACAACAGGTATAAATTTAGTGAAGGCAAGCTCTTTGGTGTATGCTGTGTTAAATTTGACGTTTAGCTCTGCCAGTGGAGCGTAATGACATGCAGCATCCTGGCGATTAAAAGCCTTAATAATCGAACCTGATGAACCTAATTTGTTTCACACAATTGTCCCTGCATTTTTTTGTGCTTGGCAGTTGGCACATGTTTAACCAAGCTCTCGCGCTTAATGTATCGATTTAGTTGTGAACGCTGTTACCTGCAAACTCTGTCAGTATTCTTTTCATCATCTCTCTTATTCAGCATTTTAGCTTTCGCGCAGTAGTCAGCTCCTTTTCACGTGACAACGGAGTGCAGTGAAAGGATTAACCAATCTAAAATCTGCTTTGAAGTTAAGAACGCAAGGATGGCGTTTGATTGGCTATGTAACGTTGGATTGAATGATGGTCCGGCCACCGCGTATCAGCGCACATAAAGGTACACTGTGCAGTAATTTGCAAACGTTTTGTAGAGGAACAAAAACAGGTCACACCACAACCATTATTACACTTGCACAAATGCTCCCAAATATACTTTTAGGTCGCACAGATTAAATTTCAGGAGCATATGTGACCAAAATGGTCACAATTTCGAGCCTTTATCTACAGTCTAGCGGTTTAAAATAATGGAAATTTGACATTTCCCCAAATGCTTTACTGCATTGGGCAGAGTTATTGAGATAAAGACACTGTTGGGAAACTGGCTTTGTGTAATTATGTGCAGGCAGACACCCTCAAGTCCTGCTCGTTCATAGCATTTCAATGGAGAGAGGTGGGGCCATACTCTTTAAACATTATCACAGTGAAGAAAGTAGTGTTGCCTTGGAGACTGGTGAAGCATGGTGAGGTATTGATGTTGGATGATCGAACTATGGGGGAAAATCAAGTACTGTGCTTTTTATTGCACCAACGACTGGTTAATGGAGATATATATATATATATATATATATATGATATATGCAGTTGGTCGACTAGAAACAACAGTATGGTTTAATCGACGTCGCACACATCCCTATTGTCTAGTCAACTGATTGATTAGTGAGCTTGACTTTATTTTTTTCTTTTTAAATTCAGTATTGTTGTAGTTAGAGGTGTTACTTTAAAGAAAAATGAAAAGATCCAACCTACTTTTTTTTTGCAATACAAAGTTTTATTTTTTCTTTAAATATTGCTATGTACATATGCAGGCATTATTAGTAGTAGTATTCATAATTTAAGTTAAATCTGAATCTTTATTTTATTTATGTATCAAACCATAGAGCTGCATTTTCATATCTTTTTTCTGTGCTTAATTATATATGGTGTCCTTAACAACCCTTTTTCAGGGTCTCATTTGTGAAAAATACCAAAATTAGTAAATGTTGTAGTTGAAAATGTATTATGCTTTGTTGATGCGAGGCCAATTGTTTGGTGAGAAACTGTGATTGGGTTTCACCAAAATATTTCCTAAAGCACACTCCACAAGTGCATAAAAAAATAAATGTTTTTTTTTCTTTTCTTTTTTTTTTTTTTCTGGTGGATGCACAAGGAGCCCCCCGCTTACTAAAATGATAAGGACAGCTTGGCTGTGAGCCCTTGGTGGGCCAGTTCTCCTGCCACAATGGGGAATTGAATGAATTTGACTAGCACATGCAGCAGGACAGGTGGCTTGCCTGCGGAGACCCTAACGCTACTGAGTCAAAGATCCTCAAAACAACCACCGTCTTGAGCGCGCTTTTCATTTTAGATTTCAGTTACACTCTTTCTGTATAGACGCCAGTCTGCGTTAGTTTCGTCATGTTTTCTTGTCAGGTTTATTAAATGTTGCAACCTTATCATTAGGCACACAAAAAGTCTGCTTTTCAAAGTGCCACAAATGGGCTATATGCACGCATAAGTTCCGCATTTGACGTAAGGATGCTCGTCCATTTCCGGTTGTGTAGATTAAAGCGGAGGAAAACCGGAGAAAACGGGATTATGGCAGAGTCTTCAATATTTACTGTCCTCCCGTCTTTGAAACGAAACGTACATACGTTTAGATGTAATTTTATATATAGTTATGTTTATTTAATATAATTTTAAAAAGAAGCATAAACACAACGAGGGGTGTCTGTTTTATCTGTTTTTGTGACTAACGTTTCATTAGTATAACCATGGAGTATAAAATTCAATATAAATTCTCGGTATTGCATTGGACTCTACGATCGGCGGAAGTTATCGAGCATCCCTAATGCTTCACCGGAAATAACGCCGTGCATAGAGCCCATTTCCAGCGAATGAATCAAAACGCCAATCTTTCACACCCTTCAAAACCCTTGTTTATTTTTCACCAATATTTTAGCCAATTTTTGTTTTTAACTACCAATACCTCTTAAAATAGCACCAACTGCTTCGTTTAGAACAATTTAACCTTGCCCATTGACTTTGAGTTATTGAAATATTTATGCTTGACAGAAAGTAACTGCTGTTTCTCTCATTTCCTGTAGTGTCCAGATTCAGCATGCAAGCAGGATCTGTTGGCCTATCTGCAGCGTATAGCCCTTTACTGTCACCAGCTCAATATCTGCAGTAAAGTCAAAGCAGAGGTGCAAAATCTGGGCGGAGAGCTTGTGGTGTCTGGGGTAAGTCATATTTACTGAAAGGGAGAAATAGACAGAAAGACAAACATGTCCCTCAGTGGTGAAAAACCTGTTTATCTGAAGTAAAATAAAAGTACTGTTATTTTCACCCATCCGTATCACCATGACAAGAACAACTCTTGTTCTGGGCAGATAACCTCATTTATTTTCTTGTTTTTGTTTTACAGCTCTGTACTTTTGCAGCTTGCCCATTTACAGCCCTTATTTAAACTAAGTTTGCTATTTTTTTATTTATTTTTTATTTCTTTAATTATAATTTCTTGGTTGCATATATAATACATGTAATTACACTACCTTTATCTTTGTCTTGTAAAGGCAAATGTTATCTTAAAGAGTTTTTCCTTCAAAGGTCACCAACATTAATATTTTATCAAACTATATAATATATATATATATATATATATATATATATATATATATATATATATATATATATTGTGTGTATGTTAATATAATTCACAGGGTTTCCAGTTTTTGAAAAGCTGGAAATATAAGGGAATTTTTAAAACGAATAGTGACCAGAATTCTATAGAGACGCTAAATTATAAAGAAATAAAATATTTCCAATAGATATTGTGCTTTTGTAAGTTTTTTTTTTTTTTTTTTTTTTTTTTTGGTAAGTGTAGAGTCAAACTTTCCCACAAGCTAGATAGTTTGACATTTGTACATTTTAAGTGTAATAATTTCAATATTTTTTTATTTGAAAGATTAGTGCCTGTCATGCAAGCTGAAATCTATTAAATTATATGAAAGTGAAACATCCATAAACAATCATAAATGGCTGAATGTGTCATGGGAGTTGTAATTCATTGGTCTTTTCAATTTCTTCTCAATTTGCAGGTAGACAGTGCTATGTCTCTGATCCAGGCAGCCAAGAATCTGATGAATTCTGTGGTGTCCACTGTGAAGGCCTCCTACGTGGCCTCCACCAAGTACCAGAAGTCTCAAGGAATGCAAAACCTCAACATGCCCGCCATCTCCTGGAGGATGAAAGCTCCCGAAAAGAAGCCGCTGGTCAAGCGTGAGAAGCAAGACGATGGCCAGACCAACAAAGTGAAGCGGTCCTCTCAAAAGAAGCACGTCAACCCTGTGCAGGCCCTAAGCGAGTTCAAAGCAATGGATAGTATTTAAGCAGCCTTCATTTCATTAGATTATGTTTCAGATGTAGATTGAGCCTTAAAATCAGTCAGATTTAGCAAGTACACATTTAATCGCATTCCTGTACCTTAGTCACCAATCTGCTCTTTTTCCATAAGCAGTGGCTTTGCTGAGTGCACTGAGAGGTCTATATAGCAAATGTTGTATTTTTACACACGAATGCATTAATCTGCTCAATCTTTACACAGGTTTTCTTCCCGATTACAGGTAGGGGCATACATTAAATTCTGGGCATTCCCTGACAGTTTGAGTGCGTTTCCCCTTTTTCTAGATGACTATTGTGTATTTTTTTAAAAAAACATTTAAGTGTATTTTACAAGAAGACTTTTATATATTTCACACTAAGGCCTTTGATATTGCTCATTACTGTCTGATTTTTGTTTTTCTTTTCCATTTTTCATGCCTATGCAAACTCTCACTGTAACACTTGCAATACTTGTGTTTTGGTATGAAACTATAAAAGGAAAAATAGGCTTTGATTTAGTGTCTCAAGACCAAAGTCATTGTATTTTGCTGTGCCTAATAAACTTTTTGATAACTTTTTGTTTTGCTTTGATTAAATGTAAAATAGACTAATTTTGGTGAATATTAATACTTTACATCTCTAAAAAAAAGTCCTGTGTGAAAAAAGTGACTTGACGTGAAACTCGAAAGGCAAAAAAGTCGGATTAGTTGCTTTTCTCGGTGACTAGAGTTGCCTAAAAAAAAGAGAGAACAATCTCAATGCGCTCGGTAATCTCAAGGAGCAGCAGGGCAAAGCTAAATACAAACGAGAGGCTGAGAGTGAGCGAGTTCAATCTTCAGCCCTGTATTTAGATTCAGAAGACTGGCCTTAGGCCTCTCTTCTCCTCCTTCATCCCATCCCTCCATGACTCAGACACTGATTAAATGAATCAACACGCCTCTTATTCGGAGGAGCGCTCACTAAGAGGTGGAGAACTCTTGGGCTGAATGGGTGTGGATGAACTGGGCTAGAAATCTATGAGCCGCTGAGCACCACCAATGATAAATGGGATCAAGTGCCCTGAAAGAGCTTCAAAATCAGTTATTGATATTTCTCGTAAGGCCATGCTAACTAATGAGTTCATCATTATCAGCTCATATGTTGAATATATCTGTGGGTAGAAAAACATCAATGCTGCTGTGGTCATTTTAACTGTTTCTCTTGCGATTTAATAATCTTGATTGTGAAAGTGCAGGATGATGCTTGATTGGTTGCGAGATGCGGATGACCTCGAATGCAGTTGCTCTGTGATTTGACTGGTCAATAGGGAAAAAGCTTTTCACATTATTCTGCGCAGTGGGTGGTTAAGTGTTGCTTCTTGAGCTGTGTTCTAGCCATGCACATTTCTATCACGCATGGATGTGTGACGACTTTTTTTTTTTTTTTTTTCACTTCCAAGCTGATCCCAGTGGCTGCGTTTATAAATGACAGTGTGTTGGGCCACCGGAGGTCACATGATGGATGTTTGCTTCAGTTTGTATGTTAATTGCAACTTTATTGCATGTCAGAAGTTATTGTAGATTTAGTTCTGGTTTGGGTTTTAAATTTTTTGTCTGTCTTGATTTTTCTGAGAATGACGGTAGTGAACATGTATGTTATGTAATGCTTTGTGAGTTATCTGCTGATTGCTGTTTTACTCATTGGCATTCTTGGTTCAAATAAAAATAAATAAATAAAAACATTGTCATTTGTAATCAAATAAGAATTTAAGGTCTGAGAAAAAGCGAGGAACCCTCTTTTCTGAAATTAGCCTGTCAATTGCAAAAATATGATTTTTTTTTTAAAACATATTTGATAGGCTACATCAGGCTTTTATGGTGCATATAGTATGATATAGGAGAATATTATTTAGAGGCGCAAATTAAGCATCATTTTACAAACTACATGTCATACCCAAGTTTATTAGATCCATATCGTGCAGTGTGGTTTGTAATGATCGTATATGTTGCAAGCATAAGCCTGGTCACAAAGTAAAATGCATGTTTGATCTGTTTTAACTGAAAGCTACTTGTACTGACGCATCTTAAATGTCAGTTCTATTGTTTTGTCTTGATATGCACATCACAAGTAATGTTTTTTTTTTTCTCTAAGGCACGCTTATAAAAGCTACCTAAATGTCCTAATTGAACCGAGTCTAATCTGTGAAACCAGGCCTTTATGTTCCCAATATTATGTCATCCAAAGATGGCATTTAAACCTTAAACATTACTGAAACGTGATTTCCAAATCGAATGCATGGTCTCTAAATATAAATCTAAACTATCTTCAGCCAAATTAAAAAGCTAGCTGCTAGAGTGTAGTGAAACTGCTTCATATTTCTAGCATAACTCAAGCCTATGTTTTTACAGTATGTTGAATCGTTGATTAATGACATCTGCCATCACACCTGAAGGTGGTCTGTATCAAACGCCTATGGCTTTTTTAAAGTGCCCATTTGCATTCTCCTGGCATTGTTTTAAATATGCTGTCAGACATCCAGCTAGAAGCAGGTTATCAAACGCTTCACAAATTAACTCTGAAGAATATTTGATATGACTCTGAGACCCACAAGTGAGAGAAACATTCAAATCAAACCGCTCTCTGTTAAAGGCCATCAGGCGTCGCCATGTGCCGTGTTTTACATGGCAAGTCCTCTGTCTTGCCACATACATGTTGAAAACGGTCTTGTTTTGTTTAGCCAATAAATCTGCTTTTTAAAATGACACGTTTCTGATATTTTATTCTGGTGAGGAAAAGTATAGTGTCAAAGCTCCGCTCAGCCTCGTAATGCACCTTTCCCTCAACACAGAGATTTTCAGATACGGAGTGATGTCCTCTCGCCCCCCGTTTCTCTCTCACATTACTCATACTGTCTGTGTTTGACCTTTCCCTCCAGACATTCTGGTTCTCCAAATAGGAAATGTACTACGGCGAGGGAGGCGGAGTGGACAAGCTCGATACAAGTTCACTGCTGAGACGAAGTGCATTTACACTGGGTCTCGCTGCTAAAGCGGAACATGAATTCTCGAGTCGACATGCTCGCCAGGGGAAGCTCTACTGCTTGTGTTAATCATGAGCAAGATTGTTTAGTTTATTTGTAGCTGCTAATTGCTTAAGAAGAACTAAATAAACTCAAGGGATGTTCTTTTCCGATTCTATTGTTTGGTTTCTCGACATTTTTCTGCTCTCCAAATTTTAGCACAGCCCATGCGCTCACATTCTGACAGGCTTCAGCTGTCGACTTCTATTTGGAGTACATATTTATTTGGGCTTCATTATAATTGCTGCTTCTGTCAAGGCTGTGCAGTGCGTTTGACCTGACCTCCTGATTTTCCCTCCAGTCCTTCAAACAATGGGCACCCTCAGATATACCCTTCCTGTGTTGGAAGGTCATCTGGGTGTTTCATGCATGCTGTTTGATGCCGAAAAACCTCTCCAGTTTTAACAGGAGTGTATCTTTTGGAAATCTAAGGTCAACTTTACCTACTGCTGGGCTGTAGAGGATTTATTTGACAGGTGAGGGTTTTTTTTTTTTTTTTAACTCTTTGGCCCTTCTCACTGGACAACTGACAGCAATGCCAAACATTCGGATTGCTTAGAAATGGTTTATTTTTGTTTTTATTCTTGTTTTTCTCTCCTAGGATCTGTCAGCCAACCCGATCGCATCTAAAATTGGCATGACATGATTGGTTGAAATGTGATCAATCAAAAAACGTGTTTTTTGACAGTTCAATCAATTGTTGAGAGTATTCTCCCGGCTTTCTGTTATGCTACAACAAATGATACCGAGGCTTGATGCGTATGAAAAGAAATGTCTTACGAGGTATTACCCTTCAGCTAGCCGTGAGAAGACAGGCAGCAAATTTAAATCCAGTCTCTCACACCTGAATCTCAGAGCATTAAATTGACTTGCTAAGAGGTGTTGTTAGATAGTTGTGTATGGTAACGTCTAGCCTATCTTTTAAACAACAATGCTATCTTTCACAGCAATTCCACACTACATGAAAGGACTCCACTCTAGAACATTGGACGTTGCTAAGAGGGCAAGGTGACAGAAGGTAAGTGGTGACTTTAAGTGACTTTAATTAGTTTACCCAAAAATGACTCCTTTGGTGCAGCACAAGGACATTTTTAATGCAATTCCAAATTCGCTTTCAAGCCTCAAATAGTATGACTTTCCTGGCTAACAAAAATGTTTGTTTGCTAACGTTCCCATTAACTTATGAAAACATTCATTCTGTATGCACATTCAAAACGTCCAGTCAATTGTTAAGGAAACATTTTATTTTATCATTCTTCAAACATTATGGGAGACTAAAACAATTCACACAAAAAAAGTTCCTTGAACAATGTTTCTGTGCTAATGTTTTAAGACTATCTAATTTAAATGAACATTTGTACATAACCTTGGCAGAATGTTCCCTGGAAACTGAGTCTCTCCAGTCTTGTAAATTGATAAATTAAATTGACATACTCCAATTGGATGTTGCTGCTGCTTGGTCAATAATCATTTAAATCATGGCCATATATAGTATCATATACTAGTGTCATATAGTATGAATTGAAATGCAGAAAACAAACCAGTTGTACTATTTTTATAATTTTGTGTAATTTTGGAATGTTTACACAAAGGAAATAATTTTAATGAAATGTTTATTGTGTTTATAGAGTGACCACTTTTAATGCTAGTACAATAAACTTGACTCGCTTGACCACATGACTCGCGAGCGCCTGGTGGCCGGGCGTCCCCCCACAGGGTCTGGCCGGGCTCAGCCCGAAGGACCAACGTGGGGCCGCTTACTTGTTTTTGCAATGGTATTTTTAAACTATAGACAACTTTATTTTGCACTGCAAGTATTCTTTAGCCTGTTGACTTCGATATTCAGCTACAATGAAATGTTTTGCAATAAGACTTACACCCAACCCTAATTGTAACCTTAGAACACTAATCAGTTGAACTCTTCATCCTTTTTTGTTGACTGGAGTTGAACCAGTCCTCATTAAGATTATAAATATATACTTTATTGTCCCCGAAGGGAAATTTGTTTTGGACACTGTCTATTCCATAGCTTTTACAGAGATGGCACAAAAGACAGTTCACCACATTTCCTTAGCACATCCTCTTCAGAATATTGTCTCATATACGTTTAAATAGGTACGCATGTATAGTAGTAGACACAGTAACGCCTTCCATTGGCAATATACTTAAAAAAACGTTTAACTTTTAAATCAAATGACTTGATGGAAATTTCACGTCGTCTGCTATCCAGTTTCCGAAACCTATGTTTTAACTGCGGTTCTGCCAATGGTTGCGCTGAGTCAAACCCATTTACTTACACATCAACACAATATTTTTGTGAAGAGCTTCTTTTCCTGTTCACACTCATATTCCTGTAACACGAACGCTGGGAGCAGTGTGGCATTAAATTAAGGGAGCCAGCATCCATAGCATTAGCAATCAAAATGTTCTTACTGATATACTTCAGGGAAAAACAAACATTTTGTCGTGTCTAAGCAAACTGAGCTTTGTTTGTGCTGGTTTTTATATCCGATCCCTTTCCCTAATATTGATTTGGCTGAACAACACTGTAATACTATATCAGATGAGCCTAGTTA